TAATAAGTGATGATTAATGGGTTATATTTTCAATATTTTAATGGATCTTAAATAAGTTCGACTATATTATTTTATATATAATCTATAATTTTTATATATTAAAATATAAAGTTAGCGGTTTGGTTAATAATGATTCGATTAACCCATAAAACTATAACCGAACCGTTAGTTATCGGTTAACAAAAATTAGAAACTGAACCAACGGTTTTTAAAATGGTTTGATTATTATGGTTCGGTTATATCGGTTAATTTGGTTTTGGTTCAGTTTTTCGGTTATTATGCTCACCCCTATTGGAGACGGCTTTAAGGTTCCTATTAAAGGGAAAGGCACTCTACTGTTTGATTGCAAGACTGGTGATCAATTCGTCATTCCAGATGTGTACTATATCCCAGCCTTGCACAACAATATAATTAGTTTGGGATAGATGACGGAGGAGGGATACGATATTGGAATGAAGAATGAATTTCTAAGGATGTATGATGAAGCTGGCTGCTTAATAATGAAGGTACAAAGGTCAAAAAATAGACTTTATAAGATAAAACTCACACCTAGGAAATCCACATGCTTAGCTATAAGTATAAGTGATGACTCATGGTTGTGGCATGCACGTATGGGCCACACAAATTTTAAGATGCTGGAAGAAATGACACGGAAGCAGATGGTGACAGGGATGCCTCTCGTATCTCATCCAACACAGGTGTCTGAAGGATGTATGGTAGCTAAGCAACCTAGACAGAGTTTTCCAAAAGCGACCCAATGGAGAGCTAAGGAACCGCTTCAACTGTTACACGCAGACCTTTGTGGACCCATCACACCTGCAACAAAGGGTGGCAATCGGTACTTTTTACTAATTGTCGATGATTATTCCCGATACATGTGGGTGTACTTGATCAAAACCAAAGACAAAGCTCTTGGAATGTTCCAGAAATTCAAGTTACAGGTTGAAAAGGAAAGCGATTATAAGATCAAAATGTTGAGAACCGACCGGGGGGGGGGGGGTGAGTTTAACTCCACTCAGTTTTTGAATTTTTGTGAAGAAGCTGGCATGCGACGCCAATTGACGACTCCACACACGCCCAAGCAAAATGACTTTGTGGAACGACGCAATCGAACTATTCTGGAGATGACAAGGTCCTTGCTCAAAGCCATGACAGTACCAGATCAATTTTTGGGAGAAGCTGTGCGTCACTCGGTGTACTTGTTGAACCGAACTGGAACAAAGGCACTCAAGGACGTGACTCTATACGAGGTCTGGAAGGGGTCAAAGTCGTCGGTCGCACACCTCAAGGTTTTTGGATGTGTAGGTTTCGTCAAGAAATTACGAGGCTTAACCAAGCTAAGAAATCATTGTGAGACCATGATTTACTTGGGGGCAGAAGACGGAACAAAGGGGTACCGATTGTACAATCCTAGGAATCGTAGGATTGTAATTGCAAGGGATGTGGTGTTTGAGGAGTCAAAGGTATGGGCCTGGAAAGAGGAATTAACTCACGAACCACTTACCACACCTTACTGGACTAATGTTTTAGTCCAAGAAGCAACCCAATTATAGCCAGCCCAAGAGCAGCCAATACCAGATAACGTGAATGCGGCACCGACTAGAAATTACACACGATCTCCCAATTTCAGATCAAACGATATTCCAATTGATGACACACCGATATCAACCTCACCTGGAGATGGGTCACGAGCAACATATTCAAATCAATTATTGGGAATTTATGAAGATGATGGGTCAGCAGCCTCATTCGATGACACCCCAGTAAAGGGATTTCGCTCAATCAACGAGATTTACTAGAATACAGAGAGGATGGATGAAGATGAGGTGCAAAGGCTGTATGAGCGAAATCAAGAACTGTTGTTGATCCATGATGAACCCACAACATTTGAAGAAGCATCAGTTGAAAGAAACTGGAAGCTAGCTATGGAGGCGGAACTAAAATCGATCGAGAAAAACAATACCTGGGTTTTGACCAAATTGCCACCAAACCGAAAGGCAATTGGGTTAAAATGGGTATTTAAATTGAAAAGAGATACATCAGGAAACGTGATCAAGCACAAGGCCCGATTAGTCGCAAAGGGGTATGTTCAAGAAAAAGGCATCGACTTTGAAGATGCTTTCGCACCAATGGCTCGTTTGGAAACTATACGACTAATCCTGGCATTAGCGACAAAAGAAAACTGGCTTGTACATCACTTATATTTCAAGTAAGCTTTTCTACACGGTGACCTCAAGGAGGAGGTGTATGTCTCTCAGCCAACTGGGTTCTCGGTCAAAGGAAAGGAGAATCTGGTCTATCGTCTCAGAAAGGCACTGTACGGATTAAGACAGGCTCCAAGAGCATGGAATGTGAAGCTAGATTAGTCACTCAAAGGACTAGGATTCACCAGATGTGCTCAAGAACAAGCAATCTATAAGGTACACAAATCCAATTTAATCCTCATTGTAGGAGTATATGTGGATGACCTTATAGTTACTGGCTCAAGTGAGAAAGGAATTCTAGAATTCAAGAAAAGAATGAAGCAATTGTTTGACATGAGTGACTTGGGACTTCTATCCTATTACCTGGGAATAGAAGCACATCAAGGGAAGAATGGCATTATGCTTTCACAGCAGGGGTATGCAAGGAAGATTCTAAAACTAGCAGGAATGGAAGAGTGCAACAGCTCACAATATCCAATGGAAGCCAAGTTGAAGCTGACCAAGGATGAACAGGGGGAACCTGTAAATGCAACAAACTATAGGAAGTTGGTTGGAAGCCTAAGATATCTAGTACATACAAGACCTGATCTTAATTTCAGCATTGGTGTTGTGAGCAGGTATATGCAGAACCCAAAGCAAAGCCATTATGCAGCCATAAAGCATATCCTAAGATATGTGAAAGGAATAATAGAGTATGGTCTAATGTATCGCAGAGGAGGTGATGGTATGTTAGTAGGGTACAGTGACAACAACTACAGTGATGATCGGGAAGATGGAAGAGGAACCACAGGTGTGACTTATTATTTCTCGGGAAATCTGATAACATGGACCTCACAAAAGCAACAAACTGTTGCTCTAAGCTCGTGTGAGGCGGAGTACATGGCTGCAACTGCAGCTGCTTGTCAGGGTTTATGGTTGAGAAATTTGGTGAGTGACCTTGTTGGAAGAAAAGCTCAAAAGGTGAAGTTGCTTGTGGACAATCAATCTGCTATTGCTCTTATAAAGAATCCAGTTCACCATGGGAGAAGTAAACATATAGATACCAAATACCATTTTATTCGTATGTGTGTTGAAAGGGAATAGATTAATGTGGAGCATGTAAGTGGGGACCAACAAAGAGCTGATGTATTGACAAAAGCAATGCCTCAGATCAAATTTGCTGAGATGAGAAAGCTGATAGGTGTTGAGTACCTGAAGAAGAAGGTCAACATTGAGGGGGAGAATGTTACTCAATGTTGACTAGGAATTTTAGGAGAATAAAAAGGCACGTTGAGTTGTTGAAGAACATTGCTGTGTTTTCTGATTTTCTGTTATTTTTAGCCTATTTAAGTATCTTAGTTTAGCTTCATTTTTTATGCAATCTCTGTAACAGCTTTCAGTCACTTTAATAAAGCGTTAAGCATTCGGCTACTTTTCATTCCTCTTTTACCCCTGTTACTAAATTAGCCCTGCCCACCAACAGACTGACCAAATGTGAAAGCATAACCCTTGGCAGACATAAGTTGCTTATTGGCCATAATGATTCCAACAGAACTTATGATATTCATATATAGCTCATGCACCAACATCCGACACGGAAGAAGATTTCTTATCTTTCTCCATTTCTTTCTCTTTTTCTCTCTTACTCACTGAGGTGTTTAGCAACTCTAGTGAATGATGGATACAACCACAGATTATGTATCGCAATATGATCTGAGAGATGCCACTGCGGAAACATCGACTTAGACTGACGTCAATCTTTAAGAAGATGTCAAATGCATGTAGAATTGAAGGAGAAAAATCGAGTATTAATGTATTGGGACAATCATTAACGATAGAACACTGATGGCAACTAAAGAAAATAACAAAACAAAGATTCTAAAACTAAGAAAATACTACTTCAATGTGTATAATTCATTAACAAACTTGTTGTTTATGTCTACTGTTGCGACTAATTAATGTTGGTTATTTTCATAACCAAAATGTAAAACGCGGAAGCATAATATGAAGATCTTTAATCTCGAATCTAATTAAAAGAAAACTTAAACATGAAAAAATGATTACATACCTTTTCCATTGAGATTTTCGGATCTAGAGACTAGGAAGAGCTTTCCAGTTGATCTCAAGAACTCTCTCTAAAATCCCTCAGCAATGAACCATACGAATTTCTTAGTGTATTTTTGTGTGTTTTGATTTTCTCTTCATCACATGTATTTATAGATGGATATAAACCCTAATGTGAGAGATGGAAGGGATCTTGAGGATCTTGAGTCAAACCGGGAACTCAACCTACATGGTAAGTATATATTCTATAAATCAGTCCATCAACAATTTATATTCTTACCATAATAAATTGATTTCATGATAACATTACATATATATGAAGTGGTCCCATAATTATCTAAGAATCTCCCACTAGACCACAAATATATAAATGTACATATAACCGTATAAGCGCTTTAATGAATGCTATCATAATATTGGTACCCTTAAACAATCTCGTCCATTAATCATAATAGTATAGTATCAAAGCGGTCTTCGTTACAATTTACGTAACTAAACCTATCAATGGTCACATATACATATATAACTAACGACATAGATTAAACATGAAGTGTGGTTTTAAAATCTAAATAGATTTCCAATGTGTTCCTTTTTAACTTGAAGTGAGATCAAACTTCAAATAAGTGCAACTAATAATGGAGTTAACCGAATTCTTAATGTTGTACATAAAAACTTAATTGTTTTAAACAAAACATAAAGCACCATAAAACTCCCACTAAAACCAAATATCACACCAACATGTGTAGTATGCTCATGAAAGACCTAGGGAGGTAATCCCTTTATGAGCGGATCCGCTTTCATGGAGTTTGTTCATATGTGCTATATATATTTCCATTTGGCACTATATATCAGCCATATTCCATGCTACAAATTATGTTGCCATTATGGAAGAAGCTACCTAAGTCTATTCCATGAAATGGCTCATCATGCTAAAATGTAAAAGTATCTTGATATGGATCAGTAACCATTTTGGCATCTAATAAATCATATTCTTAATAAATATGATCTCCAAAACATCTGAATTTCCTATAGTTGAGCATATGGCCTTTTGTTATATATAGATATATCAAAATCCATTTCTTATGATCCAAACTTGAGTTGCGTAGATATCTGCCCAAGACCAGAAATATAAATTTACTCCCACTTAATTTGTGATACACAAAATCATCTATTGTATTTACCTCAAAACCAAAAGAGATAATAAATTGATGAAAAATGTGGTACCACGTATAGGATATACAAAGTTGAGGTTGTTGAGTTTGTGTATTATGAATAGGAGATTGAATAACATTGTTGATCACTGATTCATAATCTGCATACTACCGAAAGCATTAATAGGAATCAAGATTGATTCCTCCTTAAGGCCAATGTTTTAACCTTGTTTCTCCCCAAAACTCAACATCCTCAAAGAATGTTGCTTTATCCAAAATGAATGGTCAATATCCATGTAATTGAGAACTAACATAATGTCCTCATTGCATTCCTTAAAGTTAATCTCATTGAGTAAGAATCATAAATGTGATCAATGTTAACAGGTATAATGCCATAATTCAAATTTCTGTTTTGAGAATATAGGCAAATCTACTTTTATACTCATTAATCCATACACCATAATCAATAATTTCAATTTATGACATCTTTACAAGGTATCAACACAACATTAATATCAAGTCTTTGGACAGTAATACTAACTTGCAAGAGATATCCTTATTTTAGAGATAAACATTGACAATAAATCATGTCAATTAACAAGCCCCTCTTTGGATTGACTTATTAATCACATGGAACAAAAAAAAATCATCACATGTTTATCACCACATATATGTTTATTCGACAAAACATCAGTCTACCTTTGTGTCGGCTAATACCCGCATTAATAAACACATAAACTATAAATTTTGATAATAAAAATTGATAATATATCATGTCAATTAATAAGCCCCTCTTTGGATTAACTTATTAATGACATATAACCTAAAAATTTTCGCATATTTATCATCAAACATATATTTATACGATCAGATATTAACCTACCTTTGGGTAATATTATATATAGTATTAATCCTTAAAAGGATGATGAACAGGAGACTTTTGTTTTCTCATTTTTGACATGGAAGTTTACACGAGGTACTTCTATTTCTCCTTCTTCACGGCCATATGTTTTCCGATTATTATCCTTTCTTCTGTTTTAATTGTGCCGCCCTTCTCCTCCAATAGGACTCTCCACCGCCGTTGACTACTGTTCCTCATGCTTATCGGGTATCTTCGCTTGATAGCTCCTCCGCTCTATTCCATTGTTGCATTCCAATCGAATGGTGAGGTCGACTTCTACTACTCCTTCTCATTATTTCAGTTTCTTCCAATTTCGTTTGTTCACCATATGGTTGAATCAGTCGAATCACCATCGTTTCTTCCACTTCTTCATGCCTGTAGGTATACATATCCACAATATTCTGTCGACTTCTGCCACCGGAAGCAAACCACCGGTCACGAAAACATCTTCACCACCCCTTTATCCAATACAACATCGGCTCCTCGAACCTCATCCATCTTGAAGCGCAAACAAGCGGCCTGCCACGCCTGTAATTCCTGTTGATGTGTACGCCTTCCACCGATGTCTCGTGAGACAAGGACCGTGACTTTTCCTCCCTGACGGCGTTTTCTCAACTACATCAGGTGTATATCATGTTTTATTTGGGTGTTATCACTTCAAAAATCTACTATCATGTTTTATTGGGTTGTTATCGCCTCCAAAAACTACCTATTTAATTCTAATTTTCTTCTTTATGGATAATTCTTTAGTTGAGCAGCCCAGGTGTTTGATGAAATGCCTGACTCAACACAGATTGAGGCTTCGTCACTCACCCACCGCCTCTCCCATCCAATAATGTGTTGCTACCGCCACCGCCACCGCCTCTCGCATCCAATCACTTACCATTACCATTTATTATCTTTATCCCATGGAGAAGAATCCAACCATACATCACGTTCGAGACGCTGAAGGACGGAGAAGTAATATCGGTGGCGGCGGTTGCCTTTGTGGAGAACCGAACAGACCGATAAAGTCTCCTTTAGCGACGTCGCTGCACGACTTTTTTCTATTTTCTTAGCTTTCTCTGAATTTCTAACCATAACCAAATCTTAGTCCTAATTTTTGGCGGAAATCATGACCAATCCGAGCCCTGATTTTACACTCCACTGATCTGTATTACTTTTCCATCTGAATTTTTTTTACTTGCTGCCCTTTTTCCGTTACAGGTCTTCTAACTGGAATTGCAGCGATGGATAGGGCTTCATCACCTTCGGTGGCGATGGTACACCTCAACCAGGTATATACGTGATTGGGTTTCCAGTTATAGCATTTCTTTCAACTTTATTGTCTCACTCTGGGTTGTTTTTCAATACTAATGAAAACAGGGGATGCGAATGATGTTCTCACTGCCAAGAAGAAGTTGTTTAATCAACACGATACTAAACTCATCAATTTAACATTTTTTTGTGCAAGTGGCTGAGGTTTTCAGGTAACACAAGGTAAAGTGTGACCTGACAGAAAAACATGACTTACCGTGTACCTAAAAGACTTGAGGGGGTCCAACCTTCCAAGACTTTGTCATCTTGTAATTTCATTCTAATGTAGGGTTTATAAGATGATAATGAAAATGGAAAATGTGCCTTTCCTTCAGTATTTAAAGCTGATGGTGTTAAAAATCGTGAAGGTAAATAATTTTTTTAAATTGATGGAAGGATTTTAGAAAGGTAATTTGGTAAATAAGATGAGCTATTGAACAGAGATGTTAATGAATGTAAAGAGTAAAAAGCGTGTAAATGTCTAGAATGCAGTTGGAAGCATACATGAGGAAGGTATGAGTGTAGTTGTATCGGTGATCTTGCTTATATGAGATACCATGATACTTGCATTAATATGTTTTCTATTTCTTAATTTTTTTATTTGACTATTTATTTATTTATTTATTTATTATAAATGATGGCAGGTAAGACAGTTGGCAAAGGTAAATCTTCATGGGTGCCATATGGATTATTTTCTTGAGGTTAGCAACGGCTGGAGGTAGAGCATATCTCGTATATAAGTATAGATGGAGGGTAAGTTGGTCCTTTGACTTATTTATTTTCCAAGATGGTAAAAAATAAAAGTATAATGGTTTAGCTGAATGAATAATGATGTATGTCCGGTTAAACTCTTATATACATAAAGTTTGTTTCTTTCTTAAACTGGTCAAATCTTGTGAAGGAGAGTAAACGACAATTTCTGTGTTTTATACTTAATTGCTTCAATGATCTTATATCACATGGTTTGATATTCACTTTCTGGGAAAGGATTTCGCTTAGTTTGTATATAATTGTTTCTTGAACCTGAATTAGAGCACGATCTCTTATAGTTACTTGAACGTTTTTGTTGCATCCATGAAATTTATATCCTTATGATATAATAAAAAAGGTTAAAAAGGAAAACTGTTTGAAACTTTTATAGTTTGTTTGGAAAAAAACATAAAGTATAAAAAATTAAACCACAGATTTGCCCAAAATATAGCGGTTTTTGTGTAATTTCCCTTTTTTTTTTTTTTTTTTTTAAAGGTATTAACTAATTTTTATTTTGCAGGCTGATATGAATCTAGGACCATCGATCATCAAACTCAGTCAATTCCATTCCACTATACCATACGTTAATTTTGGGTATTGCTTTGATTTGGATTTTGGTTCGCATTTTTATTGAAAGGTTCCTGATTTTCTTCTTTTTTCCTTCTGATTTTGCATGTAAAAGCTCTATGACGATTTATATAAGATCTATAATATTGTTTTTATTTTATTTTTTATTTTTTCTGTTCATAACATGAAGCTCGGTCCAAATGGGGGGTTTATGGTTGTCTGTGGTGACAACGTTCCATTTGTTGGTTCTACGGAAGCCACTTGAATTACCTCTAAGAGGCATTTTCGTTTTTTTGACAATGAAGCTCTTCATCTAGGTAGTGCCACTAAGATCCTTAAGTTTTTAAGTTCCTATTTATCTTTCTTTACAGTTTTTTTTTTTTTTTGAAGGATTTACCACAGATCTTCGCTCATTGATTGAAGTTACGGGTTGTTGTAATTAATATAGGTCAATGATGGCACTGATCTCGATCTGCCTCTTTATGCTACCACTTCTTTAGTTTCACTAGAAAATTTTGCATATTTTACTCCAGTTTTCTTAATGAGTTTGTGTTATCTCATGATTTCTTTAATGGTATTTTATGTATAGGTTTTGCTATGTTGAATTTATTAGTTCAGAAATCTCAAGGAAGAGATGATGGTGAAATTATCCAAGTTTAAAGCCTGAACAATCAGCTTAAAGGTACATCTTCCATTCAGATCACTTTATCAAGAGATAAAAAAATGAAAAAAAAAACTGATTTTTTCTTTTTGGTTAACTTATGTTTCATGTATTGATATATAAGGTCTTTCTTGTGTTAATTGGTTGGTTTTGCGAACATTGTTCTTAAAATTTCTTAGTATTCGGCTGACTAGCAACGGTATTTTGTGTTTTTTAGGGTTCGGTAGAATTGTTTTATTCTTATGATGTTTATCTTTGCATTTGCATTTTATGGGATCTCATCACATCCTTAATTACTTTATGTGGTTGTAGGTGTAACCGTGTAAGATAATATGTCTACCTTAATTTTTGTTTCATAATCGTGATTTTTTCAATTATTTTTTAATGCAGGAAAAAGTTACTGATGTTGGTGGCTAGATTGAGCTACCCATGATACCAAGAAATTCCTTAAAGTGAGTTTTGTTCATCTGTTTTTCTCACAGTTAATTATGCTTCTCTTGTGAGTTTTTTTTTTTTTTTTTTTTTAAACGGATGGTAATGTTAAAGCTAGATTGAGCTACCCATGATACCAAGAAATTCCTTAAAGTGAGTTTTGTTCATCTGTTTTTCTCACAGTTAATTATGCTTCTCTTGTGAGTTTTTTTTTTTTTTTTTTTTTTTTTTTTTTTTTTTTTTTTTTTTAACGGATGGTAATGTTAAAGCTCATGCCCCTCTCATGAGTTAATGTATTCTATCTTATTTTTCAGCACTTGTCAGCTTTAACACCAAAAAAAAGTGAGATTGTGTTTCTGGGTATTAATTGCTTCCTTTCCTTTGTCATATTAAGCATTTTTAAATCTCACATCTACAAATTTGTGAATAATAAACATTGGCCTAAACTAAATATAGTTGTTTGATTTTCAATTCATGATCCTTCTGGTGGTAGGTCGGCTGAAAAGGATGTAGATCCAGCACAATTCTCGAGAGAACTTATTAGAAAAGCTTCATCTTTAGTTGAGGCTGAGGAGGTATCATCATTTTATTATAATATTTAGTCGTACAAATGATATGCTTCTTTTCTTTTTATGATTTCTTAATATCTAATAAACACAGTCGTTACTTTCACCTTGTAATTTGCAGTGTTATCCCAATTAATTTGATTCATTTTCATCTTCATTTGATGGAAAATATTATTTCACTTGGAAATGTTGAAGTTAAATCTGAAGGATCAAGACTCAAATTACTTCACTTCGGTTTGATGTTCTCTGTTTTGGGCTATTTTATATGCTAAATTGCCAAAATAATGTGGTGATCATATCATGGAATTGTTTGATAAGAACATATGCATAAAATTTTAAATAGAATATAAAAAAGTTAATTTTGCATATCATTATATTGCTACTACCATTTGTTGAAATTTTGGCCCTGGAACAATACACATGAAATATAAGTTATAATTTTAGGTAAAAAAAAAGTGACAGATTAAGACGTAACTCTCTTCCGCATAGCAAGGAGAATATGTTGGAAAGGTGTCAAATTTTTGTTACATACTTATACTTTTACGAAGCTGATGATATTACACCAAGGTAATAAATTATAGCTTAATTTTTTTTTTTTTATCATTATATTCATGATGTACACGGATAAGTCTTATTTAGAGAGCAGTTAGTGGAGTCTATATCAACAAAAGAGTGTTGAAGTGGAGTTAAGAAGCAATCCAGACCATCGACATGTTTGTTCTTATTTGCTCCTATGGTCGTATTATTGCTCTTATGCATCATTTCAATTACATTATACAATATTCTTCATTAGAATACTCACATTTATAAGGCATTATCTCCGGTTCACATGTATAGATACCTCAAAAACAAACCCAAATCGGATGTTGGAATTTTTTTTAACGGGGCATCTTATTATGCATCACAGGTAAGCGTTTTTTTATATAAATACAACATTGGTCTTATTTTGTATAAATTTTAGATTTTTAATATAAAATTTTCATTTTTTGTTACTTTTATTTCCAGGGTCGGAAGCTATGTTTGCTGTTCTTGGACACTTTTCTTAGTTGCCTATCCAGGTTTGCTGATCTTGATTTATTTTTAAGTGTTAATGTTAGAAAAATAGCAATGTACTTTTATAAGTTTATTAAGGAAATATCTATTTTTTTCAAATAGCTTTTACATCCTTTACTTTTTGAAGTTAATACTTGCTGCTGATCAAGAAAATCAAAAAAGATATAAAAAACCTTCCCGAAGACAAACATCCATACATTTAATATGTTTCTTTGTCTTATAACCTTTTGATATTTTGTTGTGTTTAAGTATTTTGTTTCATCTTTTGATATTTTGCTGTCTTCAAAGTATTTTGTTTCGTGATTCCATATGTAAGACATCTCCAAAAACCTATGTATGTTAACTGTTTATCAATATAATGCTAGTTCGTATTAATAAACACAAACCATACAATTTAAGTTCTTTATAAATTAATTTTCACAAAAGATATCACTTTAGCGATGTATTGTATCAATTAATTTACTCTGAAAATAAATAAACATGTCAAAATTGTAATTTATTGACAACCTGAAATATTTGTCAAAGTGTGACATTGTGTATAAGGCATATCTTTAGGTGGAACACAATTCACATAAGCAAATATCATAACCAAATTGATTAAAAATCACAGAGGTTACTTGGGTAACAATATTATATAAATCACAATATATATATATATATATATATATATATATATATATATTATATATATATATATATATAATATATATATATATATATATATGCCAAAAGGTTCAAGAATTTCATAAAAAATATGATGAAATTTATAAGAAGAAAAAAAATAGCAATGATATTTCAACCGATAACTAAATAATAGCAACAATCAACATTATCAATAATACGAAAATTTTCTATAACAAAAATATCGACAGTACATACAAAAAAATTGGTTTTATCATGCTCAAGATTTACATTTATCCAAAAAAAAAAGAATTGAGTTTTATTGCCCACAAATTTAAAAAATATATTGTGAGTATCTAAAATTTTTAGATACATTATAAAACTCATTTATATGGTGACTATTGCCTTTGGTTTCTTTATTAGACTTTAATAATCATAAAACCTTTTAATCAAATAAAACCACGAAGGCACAAACCTTTGACATTATTACTGAAACTTCAGAAGTGAAGTAGTCAAGTAAACCTTAATTTTTTTTTTTTTTTAAATCTCATTTAACCCCTTTACAGCAATGCTACACGACAATAATAACAAAATAAACAAAAATATGGGTCTCGTACCCTTAAATGGGTATAGCCGAATAGGGTGGCTAGTATTGTTACCTGATATACTTTACACACAAATTATATTGTTTTAATAATATTCATATTTTCGATTCATTTGTAGAAGGTAAGGATAAGACTTAAATCCAACTATGAATCAAAAAATATATATTAAACTAATAGTAGCATGAATAACTTTTGTGTAATAGCTAATACCCAATAGCTAATCTTGTGTATTCAAAGTCACGTTAAAAAAAAAAAAAAAAAAAAAAAAAAAAAAAAAAAAAAAACCAACCGAAAGTTGCTTTGGGAAGAAAACCCCTTCCTCACATGTATACATTCATACATACGGATACTGAATCCGAAAGAAAACAAGAGTCATCTTACTGATTCTTTCCC